ATGTTACCAAATTTATATTCATCTTCTTTGAATTTTTATCAAATTTCAAGTATTCAATATATAAAAACAAAAATATATTCAATGTATATATATATATATATATTAATATTATATATATATATATAACATAATATAATATAATATAATATAACATAATTATAATCAAAAATATTATTTAAAAGAAGCATATTTGCCACATATTTTGAATTATCATTGGCAAAATTCCTTTGTAATGAAAAGTTTGTAAGTTTTATGTATTCAACATTAGATGTGTTCCTTAGCTATTACAGCAGAATATTTGTATTGCTTGTATTACAGCAGTATGTATGTTCACTGCAATTAAAAAGTCTTCATAGTACATTTGTTATATAATTCAATTTTTTTCATGTATTCATAAATAAAAATTATTTTGAAATTACAAAAATACAGTGGATTAAAATATGGATCTCATTATTTATTTTACTATTTTCTTTTTTAATATCTTCTTTACTATGTTAAATACTGTATCTAATTAATCACACATATTATAATAACATTCATAGTATTCTGTATATTTATGAAAGATCTCTAGCTAAGAAAATGTTGGTGATATTATTTGTCTAGATGTATAGCTCTTAAGAAGAAGTAATATAAAAGTGACAATGATATAAATGTATTTAAATAAATTAAGTATATTAAATATATCAAGTTTTAAAATATAATATATATTGAACAAAGATTTCCTGTTATTATTGGAAAAACTTGTATAATTAATGACTTACATTAAAATTATCAATAAAAAATATAATTATATAATACTATTTTTTTTTACGTAGCACATTAAAAGAAAAAAATTTTTTTTAAAGAATAAATAATTATTTTTAATTAATTAAGATTACGAAAAATCGAGCAGAAAGAAATTAAAAATATCATATAAATGATAATTATTATTTTCTTTGCTTTAAAATTATACATTAGGTTAAGAATTTTTAAATTTCTTTACATTATATATTCAATTATATAATATTCAATAGACCATTATATAATAAAAATAAATTAAAAATTATGTAAAATTAATGAAGAATAATTATAATATATAATAAAATAAAATAATATATAATAAAAAAATTAATTTTTTATATACATTGTACCTTTTTTGTGCTTTAAGTTGATTAGCTACATACTGTAGCAAACCAGTAAGTTCAATATTATATTTTTTAAATATGGCTCCACAAAATGAAGCGAGAGACTGAAGCCAAAGAGATATGCTGGTACCATCATGTTTAAATCTGTCTCTATCAGCACCAGCTAAAGCTTCCACTAGACAGTAACCAAGTACATCATAAGAAATATTAGTCAAATATTTTAAAGAATCTACAACAGGTCCTATAATAGTAAAATAATTATTAATTTCATAAATCTTGAAATCCATAAATATGCAAAATTATTTGTATTTTTTATTTACCTATAAGATTATCATACAATTGGATTTGTATAAGAACGTAATCGAACAATACACCAGGTGAAGAATGTGTAAGTTTGCCTATTGATCTTCCTACGGGTTTTATGGTTTCCTTGCTTACTCTTTTCATAATGGATTTAATTTTCTTTTGTGCATCTGCTCTTTTTCTTAAAAGTGCAGCATGCTGCAAAGGTGTATCATTTTTCCATCGGGCATATAAACAATATCGATTTTGATATGGATAATATTTTAATATGTTCCATAATTCTTCCGCAACGCAACAGTTGCAATCCATAAAAGATAGAGAAGGCAATAATGCCACATCAAGAATAGTCAATACATCGTAATATAAATTATTATTTTTATCAATTGGTAGCTTATTTGAATCTAATGCACATTGTTTTATAGCTGTGTGACATAATCTCATGATTTTATACATTAAAACAGGATCATGATGCAAATTAGGACCCAAGACTATAAGCATTGGTAATAACTGATCATGAAGTTCTTCAAGATTTTCAATGGGCTTTGGAGCAAGAAAACTCTTTAATTGTGGAATTCTTCTACCTTGTAATTTTGGTGATATTATACAATATCTGAAACATGATGGATTAGTATCAGAACTTAATAATAATATACTTAAATTATATTCATTTATTTAAATTTTATATTACATAAAATGTCTTTTTATTTACTTGCGATAAACAGGTTCAATAAGAGATTGAATCATTCTACATAATGCTAATGCAATAGGGCGTTGATCGGTGAGACTGTGTTCTGGTAATCGATTAAATAAGTTTTGTGCTACTTCCCATGCTCCTATTTCTAGAAGTGCTTCACATAATCCGAATTTTTGATTACTTGTATATTTATCCTTTTAAGAAATAATGATATAAGTAAAATCTTTATCAATAATAAAAATAATTGAGATAAAATTACACTTATTTAGATACTTGTGAATTTTCTTTTTCTTCTGGTACATCTTCTTTATCCTTTGTAGAAATTACACTTAATTTACGAACATATTCTTTTGCCTGTTTCATTGCTTGTTCATGCTCTTTGATAATAGTTTTATCATCTGGCACTAACCATGGCAATATGTCATCTAACTTAATAACACCATGTTGCAACATAAGTGCAGTGACTTTTTGCAATGAAAATGGAGTAGTATTGACAGTTGAACAATATTTAAATCCTAAAACTTCACAGAGTACCTGCTGATCACTCATGTATGAACGAATTAAAGGAATAAAAAGTGCATCATCTTGAGGTCGATTCTCAAAAGTTTCTAATAAAATATCAAGTACCCTATTAGGGTCAAGATTAAAATATCCTAGAAAAATGATATATATCCATCTCTATTAATGCTATTAATTTATAAAATTCATAAATAGAATATCAAAATATAGTAATTTACCAATAAGAGACTTAACAATTTCCAATATTGATGCTACTTCACTTTCTGGACGTTCTTGGTTTAACTCCACTATAAGTTTAGAATATCCTTCACTTTCTTCTCGAAATAAATTAAATTTCCGTTGTTTATAACTGTAAATAAATGTTGTATATAGATTTTGCATTCAAACCCATATATTAGATATTTAAACAAATATACATACTACAATTTCGTTTTCACTTTAATAAATTTAATTTGAAAATTCTTGTTTTTTAATGTTCCTACATCTTGCAATGTATCAATTTCTAAACGTTCCTTCAATATTCTATCTGTGAGAAACTATATAAAAAGTAATGACATAAATTAATTATGCCATTAAAAATATTTTAATAAGTGGCAAGTAATTTAATCATTTTTATTATTTTATAAAATGATACCTTTTCTGATTCTTTTACAAGATAATAAAAATTATTCCTTTCTTCATTATGTGCCTCTGCATCTATTAATGTGAATATATCCACTATTGCAGATGGTATTGCTCCATCAATATTCTGTAGATAAATAAATTGTAAATCATAATAATTTTTATTTAAAAAGAGTTATTATTTGACAAAGAATCATAAATAATATATAAAAATTAAAAATATAAATATATAAATTATTATTATTTAATATTATTTCTGACTATCTTACCGTAAGTTCACCTAACGTCTGAACAACATTGTCCCTTTTTATGTTCCCACGGATTCCATTTGATATTAATTCGTACAATCCTCTTCTCCATTCTAAAAATAAAAATAATACCATATAAAAATATTAAAAATATAAAAAATAATGTAATAAATTGTAAAATAATTATTTTATATTATATAATAAAAATGAAATAATATTTTATAGTTCTTGATTTATATATAAAAAAATCTAAATATTAAAATATTAAGAAGAATAAGATATAAGATATTAAAAAGAAATAATATAAAAAAAACAGAAGGATTTTTTCTCAATTTATTTTTCTATTATAAATGATTAATTCGAAATAGTTACAAATTATATTTTATAGAAATATAAATAAATTTTTTATGATAAAATATATAAATAAAAAGATATTCAAAAATATTGATATTTAAGTATATTTTAAAAATATTTAACATTTAAAAATATTTTTAAAATAATAAACATGAATTAAAACATTTCTTATTTGATGTGATTTACTTTATAAAAAAAAAAATATTAATAAAATAAATATAAAAATAATAAATTTTAATGTGCGCAAAGTTGTACCTGAGTTAAAAGGTAGCTCAAGCTGTTAGAATAAGCTGAAAAACATAGAACCTCACCTGCAGTGTTGCCTTCCTTAAATTTGTGCTTGATTAACTTGAGGCTGCAAACAGTTGTTAATTGACAATTAACTCTTCAGAAGAGCGAGAAACAGGAGAGATAAGTTGCAACCATCAATTGCACAGAGTATGCAGTATCAATTCAATATTAATCGAACGCACTTCGGACGTTAACGCGTTAACCACTTACAAATCGTTTTTTCCATGTTTATCCCATGCTTTCCATATTTCTGAATTCCACACTTTACCAGCCATTTTAATTCCATGAAAAGCTTTTTATGATTAAAAACAATTGTATCAACACCACAGGTTAATAGACTCCATTTTCCACCATTGCAAGCGTCCTCGAAGCTATCGTGGCGCGATCTTTCTTATGCCACATATTACATATCTAGTATAAGATCTTTATTGTTAAAAATTTTTACTACGTAATTAATTATTAATACAATTATTAGTTGTAAAAACATCGTATATTTACGGAAATATTTAATTAATACAGAAATATATTAATAAATTTGAATAAAAAATTTTTTAAAAAATTGTTTACATAAAATTAATAAAGTATTGTATATTTTTCACTTATAAAATTATGTTGTATGTATTATGATAATATATATAGAATACAAATATAATTAGAATAGAATATTGATTTTTACTGTATATAAAGATTAAATTTATATTTTATGTAACATGATTAGCTAATATATACATTTTAAGTGGTTTCATATAAAAAAAATATAAATATAAAAAATTATAAAATATTAAATGTATAATTTTTACTTATATATTTATTTTGTATTTAATATTTGAATAATAAATTATGAGAGAAAAAAAACAATTTTATTTTAATTATAAAGATATTTTATTTAGTAAATTTTATCAATATCTATCACAAGCTGATGAGTTTAGGAACGCTAAGAACTATAGTTCTTTTACATTCAAGCGTATAAACGAAAAGGTACTGACAGATTCATTTAAAGTAAAATCAAGAAACATCTGTCTATGTATTCTTAATAATAATTAAATTTCGGTATAATTACGTCAAATAATTATTACATAATAATATGCGTTTAATATTATTGTTAATAATATAATATGTTTTATAATTAAAATATATAAGTGCAACGCTGTTTTATTTATTATTTTTCTTATACTAACATAATTTAAATAATTATAAAACTTAATATTTTGTGACATATTAATTTTATAATGTATATTCTATATTCTATATTTTTTTTGATTAAGTTGTATTTTATAAAGTTTTTTTTTTCTTTTATTATAAAGATATATAAAAATTGGTTATGTCATATCGTGACGGTAAATTTGTTTTTAGCATAAAATGGCTAAATCCAAGGAAAAAAAAGGTAAAAGTGCTATGAGCGAGGTTGTAACTCGTGAATATACAGTGAATCTCCACAAACGTCTTCATGGTGTTGGATTTAAAAAGCGTGCTCCACGAGCTATTAAAGAAATTCGTAAATTTGCTGAAAAACAAATGGGAACTCCAGACGTGAGAATTGATACACGACTCAATAAGCAACTTTGGTCTAAAGGAATTAGGTAAATTTTATATACTTAATTAAATTCTAAATTAAAATTAAATATCTAAACTGTTAAACTACATGTTAAATATTATTAATTTAAATAATAAATTTTATATTTTTAGGAATGTACCATTCAGAGTTCGTGTACGATTGAGCAGAAGAAGAAATGATGATGAAGATTCTGCAAACAAGTTATATACCCTTGTTACTTATATACCAGTTGCTTCCTTTAAGGGTTTACAAACAGAAAATGTTGATGCCAGTCAAGATTGATTTATTTCTGATTAATAAATAATTTATCTCAATTTATTAATATATTATTATTTTAATATTTTTCTTTCCATTTATTTTCGATATTTTAGAAATTTTTCATTATTTTATTAATTGTTTGATTCTATTATAAATAAAGTAAGATGTAAATTTACATTAAATTTACGTGAAATGAGATATAATTCATTTAAATTTAATAAAATTTAATGGTTAAATTAAAGCTATTTTAAATTTAACTAAATTCAAATATATGAAAAAAAATGTGATTTAATTATTAAAACGTAATTCTACTAATTGGAGTATTTTTATGATATTCTAAATAATAAATTTTCTATGTCAAAATATCCCTAGTTAATTCGAATTATAATTCGTCATATAATAGGGATATTTTGTATGGTATGGTATTATATAGTAGTTGTTAGTGTAGAAATGATATCGCATACGACTAACTTCAAGAAAGTTTATTCGTATGGATTCGGACATTACGATACTGTATTACGATTCGAATAGTTTACATTCTGAGATAGAAGAAGTGAGTGTAAGTAATATCAAGTGATTATACGAACATGCGCTAATAATATTATTTTTTTATTAACTCATGTATTCATAGTGAAATAATAGGTTTGGTTTTTGTTTATATTATGCTGACATGAGTTTGCTGATTTATTAAAATACCAAACGCGAATCTATCTAGCCGTATCGCTTTATTTACACGACTGTCGGTACGATAATTTTTTTTTTTGTTTTAATTTATCGTATCACAATTTATCAGAGTATTAATAATTTATTCATAATTTTATTTCGATATTCTTTAAGTATTTGTATAGTTAAAGCGTCATATTTCATCGAGGTTGCATTTACATTCAATAACGTTTGAGATAATAAAATCAGGAGCCCATTGTTTATTGTAGCATGCAAAAGACAGTTAGCATGTGTGTGATTTTTCATATCCATAAGTGAAAAAAGAATATTTATGATTAATTTATGCGCAATAATTATTTATTTTGATTAACTTGATTTAATTTGTTAATCAATCAGGCGGTTATTTTTTGTCAAATAAATCATGCACATAATTCCATGGGAACAAATATAAATGCATTAAAAAAAAATTTCTCGTTCTCACATTTTTTTTTTACTTTTACTCATTTATTATTCAATTTTTATTATAATAGTTTCATTTTTTTTTATGCGATTTATTAATACAGAGAATTGTAATTATTTTTTTATATTAGAAAAAGAAAGAAAATAATCACATCAAAAGATAAAAAAATATAAAAATTTATGTTTACTTTTTATTTCTTCTTTAATATAATTTTTGTTCTCATAATATAAATTAAAATGTATTCGAGTTTTATTTTATGTAATTATTTTTTTGTAAAATATGCATTATATGCCACAAAATAATAAAGATTTTTAGATGGATATACATATATAAAGATATTCTCTATGTACTTTAATGCATTTCTTTCATATTTCCTTTTTTCCTTTATCCTTTCGTTCTAATATTGTAATTGTTTTATTAACATTTCTTGTTAAATATTTATATTAGTTATAATGAATGCAATTAAACTTTTAAAGATTTAATCTATTAAATAATTTTTTAAAAAGATACATACATTAACATATATGCAAGTTTTATATTTTTTATTAATTTAAAATTTTTATTTTTCATATAGTTTTTTATTTTATTGCACAATTTTTTCTATATTTTTTTTTAAATTATTAGGTAGTTTTATAATGGAAGGAGGTGGAGTACTTACAGCAGAACGCAGTCCAGCACGTGCAAATTTGCATGTAGCTTTTACTGAAAAAGGAGAGGTAAAGGAACGCAGAGAAAAATTTTTAACAGCTAAGTATGGATCTCATCAAATGTCTCTTATTCGTAAAAGACTTGCAGTTGAAATGTGGTTGTTTGATGAGTTAGAAAAACTATATGAATCAGTTGTAAGTTAAAATTAATGCACCTTATAATTGAAAATCACTATATTAAAAAATGATTATAATGATCATTTATTAATTTTTTTAATTTGCAGAATGAAAGTGGTAAAAATCGAGAAGTTGAAATTGATATAGATGAACTTCTTGATATGGATAGTGATGAACATAGACGAAGATTTTTGCAAGTATGTAAATATATATTAAATAATTATTATTAGAATATAAATTGATTATAATCATTTATTATTTTGCTTTCAATTATAGGAATTATTAGTTGATACAAAAAAACCACCACATGATATAAATGTAAGTATCTTAATAAATATGTAATTTTATCTTAATAAACTTGTAATCTCTTTGTTATTAATATTGTAATAATACTATTTTTCCTAAAACTAATATTTCAATTTTATTATTTTCTTAAAATTATTTCAACTAGTTTTCATTGATTCTATCTAAAAATTGCATTACATATTTTTATAATAAATTAATAATCTTGATCATAGTGTATTTTTTATGGTTTTAAAACTATAATTTCACTCATAAATTTGTACTTGTCACTAATAAAAATTTATATATTTATTTATATGTTTCAGAAATTCATTAATGATTTACTTGAAAAAGCTAAAACACTTTGAAGAACTTCTGTGTTCTTCTTAACACTTACGTGTTTGCAAGAACTTTTTTGAAGCATTAATAAATTTGCTCAGATTTGGAACAAGTCAAAGACATATTCAAGCCTTAATGAGTTGCGCACAACGCGACTCAAATGCCACTTTATTATACTTGGATCGAATTTAATGAGGAAAAGAAAAAAAGAAAAAATCCATCAAATGACTTTGCACATTTTTATTCTAGCGTATATTATTTCATATTGAAATCGTAAGCATTAGTATCTGACTTATCTCAGTACAACAGCTAACTTTGTTAGTTATTTATGTGCGCATCGCATATCAAGTAATAAACCTCACAGTACACAAAACTGCCTTGCTGTACGATCCATCCAATGTGATGTATAGTAGAAAACATTCTTCTACATTCTAGTTTTGTATGCATTCTATACTCCATTGTTCGTAGTAATATTTATGTTATTAAGAATGATCAACTAACAAAATATTTCCAAACTGTAACTATACCAAATAATTTCTATGCATATCCTATGTTTATTGAATTATCCCAATTGAGAATACGATTGGGTTAAAATAATCGATTTTTTTTATGTTTTATGTAGTGTAATGAATTATTACAACTTTTTATTTATTTTAGAAAATATTTTAAGGGAGATTAGATATGCAAAATTTCGCATCGAATGCTTGTATTGAATAAAAAAAAAAAAAAAAAAGAAAAAGAAAAAAAAAAGAAAAAAAATTTGTTTGATAATATAATAAAAGCGTGTATGTTTCAGATGATATTATCACTGGCATAGTAATAATTAAAACGTGGAAATGACACCTATCGTTGCTCCAGAACCGAATCAGTATTGAAAATTATTATGAAGTAAAAATTTATTCTGTTATAAGTTTTATTATGATTCTTTCTTCCTTTTGGATAACAGTTGATTAAAATTCGATATTTTAGAAGTTTTGTTAAGTCGTTAAAAAAAAAAGAAAAAATATAAACATTCCTAAATAAAAGATTAAATTTTTTAGATTCTAACGTTGTATCGATAATCTTTTTAAATACTTTATTATTTATATAATCATGTTGTTAATTTCAAGATTTTAAATTTATATTTATAGAGGTGTTATATTCGTTTAAATAATATTTAAATCAATCTTTAATCAATTGTCTTGAAAAAAAAAAGAAATAGATGATGTACATAAATTCTTTGTTTTGCCTCGTTTGGATAAAATAATTTGTAAATGCGTGATTATGTATAGCTAGTATAAAAAAATTGACATTTATATGAAAATAAAATTCATTGTCACAATAGAGTGCAATTATAGGTGACATTTATACGGTTTATTGATGGTCATTTAACATACGAGCTATTGTGTAAAACGTATCCATAGTTATAAAAGAGGAAGGAAGTAAATTTAATATAAACTTCCGGAAAACTCAAAAGATCTCTTGCACTGATGTATCTTGCATTATTACTTAAAACAAAAAAAAAACAAAAAAAAAGATAAAAGACTGCATAAATTAAATTTACCTTCCTCTTACATACCATATGCATATAAATGCATACAGAATCATCATAAATGGCATATAGAATGATAAGATGGATATATTATCGAAGATCGAATACATAATATCGGATGTTGAATGAGAATTATTAAATAGAGAATTTTGTGTTTACATTGGATAAAAAAAGCAATATTTACATAATATATTAATGATATATCTTCAAATTCAAATAACAAAAAAAAATAAAATATTTAAAGATTATATTTATCTCATATTACGAAGAGAAGCGTACGATATTCATTAGTGTTATTAAGCCCCAGTTAAAGAAGAAGAAAAAAAAAAGAAAATATGCAAGATGAACAAGAATGATTTTATCCAAACAAGGACTAATGATCATGATTATTCTATGAAATATATATTTGAGTATATAAAGATTCATTTGCCATTTCATTGTTCGGCAAAATGTAATCTTTATAAATCATGATCATAGAAAATTGTGTTTAAAATATCTCTCTACCTTAAAATCCTTAAAACTTTCATATAATTTAGATGAATAATATCTAATTAAATGAAAAAGGAAAAAAAATCTTGTCATCCAATTATATATATATATATTTAAAACTTTATACGACGAAATATATATGAATGTGTAATTAAGATTAGAAAAGTAAAATTATACAATAAACCTTGATCTGATGTAACAATGCAATTATGACATGCTCGTTCATTTTGGTTGAAAAGTTATATGACATATTATATTACTGATGTCAAACGAATTTTTATGTCGAACGAACATGTCAGAATTTAATCAAAGTTTATTGTATTAGAAACGATACAATCAATTGGTGCACTTGTGATTTAATATTGTATGCGACCTTCGATAGAATTATGTTCATCGCATCGATATGTAAAAAAAGGAAAATGAAAAAAAAAAGATTATGAAGTTTTTAAATTTTATCATCAGAAGAAATGTCGT